TGGGATGAATGTAGTTAGAGGCAGGTCCGTTGTGGGGAGCAACTGGGAGCAACTCGGACTAGACTGTTACTGGAATTAAGACTTATTCTATGCATCTGCTCTCCCACAATATGGCGCTGGGAGAGGAGGAAACAGCTTCTACACAGCTGCCTCCAGTTCAACCAATAAACTGTAGGACCTGCTCCTGATTGGAGGAGAGCAGCGTACTCGGCGTGTGGGTAGCAGAGTTGGGATTGGTGGAAGAGGACTATAAAGGAGGAGAGAGACAACATGCACCAAGAACACTTGAGGAACATCTGAGCAGCCCCCGAGAGAGCTGGCCGGCAGTGTGCCGCTCCCCCACGGAAGTGGGGAAAGTGGCTAGGGGGAACCGCCCTTCCACGGAGGTGGAAGGGTCGGTAGCCAACCCGGGAAGAACCAGCAGCAAACCCGGGAAGGGCCGAGCAGACAAAAGAACAACACAGGGTCCTGTGTCGTTCCTCCGTGAAGAGGGGGAGCGACAGTCCGTAGTTTGAATCCAAGTCTGGACCCCCAAAGACCAAATGAGGCAGCAGTGTGATGATTCCTTTGAGACTGTGAATGGTCCACACTCCTTGTGGAGCCAAGAATGTTGGTGTGGCCCCTGTCATTCCTGGGGAGCCAGATGAGTCCCAGAGGTTGGATCTGGCAGGGGCTGAGACCAGACAGCCTCATGGCCTCCTGTGCAGGGGGGAAGCATGCCGCGACAGGCCCAGGGGCTCCTCTCAGGACATGGAGACTCCAAGCCGCACCTCTTCAGACAGCCCACAAGCACAGCAGACAGGACTGTAGCGGTCCCCTTGGTGGTTTAGGGGGGCGAGAAGGGGAGGGGAGCCCAGTCGAACATCTGGTCTGCTGCTGCATATCAGATTTGGGGGTGCAAGGGATCAAGTGTGAAGCTGACAGGTCAAGGGGAGATAAGACCGTGGTGGTACACATCCAGGTTCTCATGAGTCACAGACTGGAATAACTCGAAGTGACACTGGACTTCCTCTGTGGCGCAGGCTCCTGGAACTGTTGACTGACACTGTCCACACTCACCCCACCTCCTGGACAGACCCTGAGTTGCATTCTGGGGATAGCATGGCAAAAAAGACACGTCTGCCCTCTGTTCTCATAGAGCTGGCAGCCTACAGGGAAAGACAGATCCGAATCCGAATAGGGGTACTTTTAGAAAGTTCACGTGTCGCTCCCCCTCTTCATGGAGGAACGACACTAAACCCTGCCTAGGCTTCACATCCGAGTCACGGCACCATTATGTCACTCCCCCTCTTCGCGGAGGAACGACATAGGACCCTGTGTTGTTCTTTTATCTGCTCGGCCCTCCCCGGGTTTGCTGCTGGTTCTTCCCGGGTGGGCTACCGACCCTTCCACCTCCGTGGAAGGGCGGTTCCCCCTGCCACTTTCCCCACTTCCGCGGGGGAGCGGCACACCGCCGGCCAGCTCTCTCGGGGGCTGCTCAGATGTTCCTCAGGTGTTCTTGGTGCATGTTGTCTCTCTCCTCCTTTATAATTTTTTTTTAATTTTTTTTTTTTTTTTTTTGACAGGCAGAGTGGACAGTGAGAGAGAGAGAGACAGAGAGAAAGGTCTTCCTTTGCCGTTGGTTCACCCTCCAATGGCCGCCGCGGCCGGCGCGCTGCGGCCGGCGCACCGCGCTGATCCGATGGCAGGAGCCAGGTGCTTTTCCTGGTCTCCCATGGGGTGCATCTCTCCTCCTTTTTAGTCCTCTTCCACCAATCCCAACTCTGCTACCCACACGCCGAGTACGCTGCTCTCCTCCAATCAGGAGCAGGATCAGCTCCTGCAGGTCATCACTCAAGTTGTCGAGAGGCAGCTGCGTAGAAGTTGTTACTCCCTTCTCAGCGCCATATTGTGGGAAAGCAGATGCATAGAATAAGTCTTAATTCCAGTAACAGTCTAGTCCAAGTTGCTCCCCACATTCGTGGAAAAATAAAATTAAAAGATAAACTTATTTTGGTGTAAAACATTTGAAATCGGTGCTTTTTGAATAATACACTTTTTCATGAACTTTTTTTGAAGACCCACGGTATGCATGGGTTTCATCCCCAACCCCCCACCCCTGCCCCCGGCCCCTGCATTGCAGTGGGCATTGTGGTGCTGCAGCTTGGGCCACGGTTTACAATGCCTGTGTCCTATGTGGAAGTGCTGGTTGGAGTCCTAGCTGCTCTGTTTCCCATCCGGCTGCCTGCTAGCGCATCCTGGGTGGGTGGCAGCAGATGATGGTTCAAGTGCTTGGGCCCAAGAGGGAGTTGCAGACAAGAGGGAGTTGGCTTTGGGCTGGCCCAATCCTGACTGTTGTGGACATTTGGCCAGGGGGCCGGGGGCGGGGCAGGGGAAGGGGGAGGGTGTGAATCAGCAGAGGGAAGACATCCTTCTCTCCCTCCCTCCCTCCCACTCTTTCAAGTAGATGAAAATAAAAACATTCTTAAAAATTTCTCACCAAAATAAAGTTATCTTTAACTCCATTTTCTATGCACTGTTGAAGTCCCCTTATATACAGAGAAATAGGAGATTGCCTTGATTTCCATGAAGAAAACAAAGAAGAAACCAGGTGGGTGCTGGTGCCACTCGCTGAGAGACAGAGGCCAAGGGGAGCTAGGGTAAAACACCGGGAGTGCCAAGGTTGAATTGCTGCCTGGACAGACAAATCCAGCAGGTTCTCAGAATGTGATCCTGCTGCCGGGGTGGGGGGTGGGGGGGTGGGAAGGGGGGGTGGAGGTGGGTAGGGGTGTGGGGGGGTGAGCCTGCTGCCCGACTTCCAGGCTCTCTCACTTCCCATCTCTTCTTGGACTTTCCCTTTCATAGACACCATTCATTCATTAACAGATTCCTCCTGAAGTCTGTGCTGGGTGTGGTGCTGGGGCTGACCCAGGGCCCACAGGGGGCTTATGCTCTGGGAGTGGCGTCAACAAAGAAAGATGGTTCTAACTTGTGCTTGTTAGATGGAAGCTCCTGGAGCAGCTACTTTCAACAGCTGTAATAAACCATCCCCAGGGCCAGCTCTGTGGTGTAGCAGGTAAAGCCGCCGCCTGCAGTGCCGGCATCCCATATGGGCACCGGTTCAAGTCTCTGCTGCTCCACTTCTGATCCAGCTCTCTGCTATGACCTAGGAAAGGCAGTGGAAGATGGCCCAAGAGCTTGGGCCCCTGCACCCATGTGGGAGATACGGAAGAAGCTCCTGGCTCCTGGCTCTGGGTTGGCACAGCTCTGGCCATTGCGGCCACCTGGGGTATAGAGTCAAAATCAAAATGGAGTGGGTGTGGCTAAAAGCTAATTGCAGACCTCTTGCTTCTGTACATATTAGCTTTGCTTGCTAACGGCTAAGGGTGTATCTTGTGAAACTATGTGGGCCCAAATTCCCAGGAACTAGGTTGACAGAAATGTGTCCTTCACTGTTATCTTAAAATCATATCTGTTATTGGGTTTGTTATTGTTAACTGTTATCTTAACACCATATTCTGTTTTCTTTTTATTGTTCACTGCATACCAGGGGTTTGGTTCGAAATTATGAGCCCCAGTGGACAGAATACTATAAAAAGCTGTGTAACTCGCTGTTGGGGGCTGCACTCTGGTAAGGAGTGGCGGTCCTGACCGGTAGACTTGCCTCTCATTTTCAATAAAATTCATGGGTGACTGTCACTGGCTTTTGTAATATTCCAATTTAGCTGACGAGTGGATGCAATAAGGGAATGAACCAGCGGATGGAGGACCTCTCTCTCTCTCTCTGCCTCTGCCTCTCTGTGACTCTGCCTTCCAAATAAAATAAATAAATCTTAAAAAAAATAAAAATAAAAAAAGAAACCATCCCACAAAGTCAACACAAGGCCCAAGGGCAGGATCTGGGAAGGAAGGCAGGCTGAGCAACCCTTTGCATCAGAGGCTTTGGGGAATCAGTCCTGTTAATTGTGTCAAATGCTCCGCCCCAGAGCCGCCTGCAAGTCGGGACTGCTCACCTCGCGTCAGATGACTTCTCTGAGGAAGAGGCACAGCAGGGTCCAACGCATAGCACAGAAGTAAGGAGTTCTGTACAAAACGCCCATCACGCGGCAGGTCTCTGAAAAGGCAGCCCCCCTGAGAGTCTAGATTCTGAGATGGAGGGTTCCGGCCCCCGATATCCTGGAGCCGGTTTTGGTTGGCAGGGTTGAGAGCTGGTCCGGGTTTGTTATTGGTCACTGGGAGGTGAGGCTGGAGGCTGCCAGGGGGCTTTGGTAGAGCCCGGACAGCCCACTGCTGGCCATTCCCCTGCCCCCAGCCTCCTGGCCCTGGTTTCCCAGCTGTGGCAGGCTGCTTGTCTTCTGCAGCCTGCAATGTCACCAGCAAGGAAGCAACCATGGGCGTGAGGACCTGGCGGCGGAAACGCCAAGCGTGTTCTGGGGTAGCGAGCACTAAGCTGTGACCTCAAACAGGGCCACCAGTCCCCCGTGTGCTGGAGCTTAGGAGGGCGCTGTGGGTGCATTCTGAGTCTGATCTCGGCCACCAACTTGGTTAGTGAGAGCCTGCAAGTCCCTTCCCGCCTCTGAGCCTCTGCAATCGCCTGGAAAAGAGCTTTTCGGTGTTGGACTCAGGGGTCGCTAAGCTTTCGGGCTCTAAGGTCTCCTCTGACCCCAGCCATAGGCCTGGGAAGCAAGTGTGTGTGGGACTGGCCCCATCTCACAGCGAGGAAGCCAAGGGCCAGTGAGGGGGCAGTGACTTGCCCACGGCCGCACAGGCACAGCCACAGCCGAGAGACAGCAGAGCTAAGTCTGATCCCACCGCCCCCAGCGCTCAGCCTTCTTGGGGAGATCAGCCTCAGGCCGCTCTGGCTCAGCCCAAGCGGGAGCCAGGAGCCTTGGGTCTCAGGTCCAGGAAGCAGGCGCTGCAGGGGACGGAAGGGAGCCCACAGCAGGGTGAGGCCGGAGAGCTGGGCGGAGGCGTTCAAAGCCAGCCCGGGAGCAGTGGGTGTGTTGGGGGCCGGGCAGGGCCGAGGAGGGGACGCCCTCAGGGAGAGAAAAGGGAGCGGAGAGCGGGTGGGAGCGCAGAGCCCCGAGGGCACGGGGCGGTGTTGGGCGCCCGGGGCAGCGCTCCGGGGCCGGCAAGGCGCAGAGGCGTGCAGTGCCCGGGCAACCCCGAGCAGGGGGCGCAGTGTCCACCCAGCAGGCGGGGCGCCCGCCTCGCAGCCTTTGCAGAGAGGTAGGTAAGGCGCACCCGCAGGGGTGGGAAGGCTGGCGAATGCGGGGTTTTCCCACCTTCTTTCCGAGGGCCAAGCGCCTTCTCCTGGAACCTGCGACCAGAGCTGGGGGCTGCTCAACTACGGAGCCCACGCCTCCCGGGCGAGCGCCCGGACCCAGGGCGGGCGGCACAGGCAGTGGAGGGGCGGAGAGGCTGGGGCCCTTGCACGCCCAGTCGGGAAATCATCGGAGCTTGAGCCGGTGCTCGCGGGCTCTGGCATAACCACACAGAAGTGCCTGCACGCCCATTGGCACGCAAGCGAACACCTGTCCCTGTGCGCTGAGAGTGCGCACGCGGAAATGACCCTCGGGGGCCCCCGCGCCGGCTTCTTGCTGCGCAGAGCCGATGGCTCTGCCGAGTTCACTTCCCCGCACCCGGTCCGACCCAGTCTCAGGAAAACCGCCGGACTCCCAAAGGCATCCCTTGCTCTTGGCAACACAGGCCTGGCTGGGGGTCCGGAGGACGGGTTCAGGTTTACAGGCTGCAAACCCAAGCCAGCCGCCCGCCCGTTCTCGCCTTGGGCTTCCCTTTCCTGCGAAATGGGCGTCCTGCTCCTGCTCCCCCACAGGGCCCCATGCGACCCGGGAGTCCCTAGTTGGAGAATACATGAGTGCAGCCCTTCGGTGAGTATCTGCTCCTAATCCCCCTCGCTATTCCATCAATTTCCATAGGGGGCCACTGAGGCCCGGGGGGGCACCAGGGACAGACAGAATTAGAGCCCAGGGTCTTACTTGTAGCCCGGGGCTGTCTCCTCTTCAGGGGTGCTGTAAATGTCCAAGGCCTCACCCCTTCCTGGTGTGCAGCCGTAGCCAACTGCAGGAGACCAACGAGGCTCTCCATCCCTACCTCCCTCCATGCGTTTCCAAGCACGTTTCTATCCAGAAGCCTCATATGTGGGAGCTCAAAATGCCTCCTAAGAGGGCGCAAGCTAAACCCCATGTTACTGATGAGGAAGAACAAGGCTCAGGGTGCAGAAATGGCTTCACCAGGACACACGCTGGATGCCCTGGCCAAACAGGGTGGAGAGGCAGCTCCAGTGCTCTGTATTGTGCAGGCCTTGGGACCACAGAGGGTGCCCCTACATGGTGAGAAACCTTGGGGATGGACAGAGAGGGCGGGCCACAGGCAGGTGCTGAAGAAGGTAAGCGTTTCCAAAAACCGAGAAAAACGCCAAGACCCTCAGCCCTCCACCCCGACCCTGCCTTTTTCTGAGGATAAGGAGAGCCTGGGTGGGGAGGGGGCACTTAAGAATGTTCTCGGTAGTGTGGGGGTGGGGAGGATGAGACAGAGAGGGCAGTAGTGGGGGCAGCCTGCCCAATCATTCTCTTACATAGCACGTCCGCACCTGTGGTTTCTTCCAGTTCTTGCCTGAGATAAGCAGCACAGGGGTAATTATCCCCGTCTCAGGGTGAGGTTCAGAGGGACTGAATGCAGGGCTCAAGGTCACGCACCTAGCGTGCAGCCAAGACTGGAGTTGTGAACGGCACCGCCGAAAGGCAGGATCACAGGCTAAGGGAATTGGACCGAGTGCATTTGGCAAGCCACACCCTGGGCAGGTACTTAGGGAAGAGGGTTACAAAGCCATTGCTGGAGTTTTGGGCCAAAAATGTTTGCCCTTTGGATTAAATGGGGCGCAGGTGCAGGAAGCGTCTGGGCTCCCCAAGGCGGTGTAGACTTCCTCCTCGCCTAACCCTCCCCACCTGAGCAAGGCGGCTGCTTTTCTTTGAGCCTCCCTTTCCAGACCAAATAGAATCTGCCCTGAGGTTGCTTTAAAAAAAAAAAAAAACAGTGTTGTGGGCTGTTCTCATGACTGTATGTGCACGCACTGCAGGAGGCAGCGCTGATCCATTCATTCTTGGGTGTTTTATATGTGCTCAGGCCTGGAGAATAAAGAAATGTGTGAAGCACAGGTCATAGTCCTGAGGCCTCGGACACACAGTTTAATAGGCATATGTGTACCCACGCTCATGCGCACACAAACGTATACATGCACAATGTCAATACAGCACACTGCTTTAATAGGATTTTGTGCAAAGCACTTTGGGATAGACAAGGGGGAGAGACCAGCTTGGCAGGGAGTGTGGAGGAGAGTGGCTCAAGGGGGAGGTGTGCGGAAGTGACGCTGGAACTTGGTCTTGGAAGGAGCAGGAGTTGGCTGGGAAGATAAAGAGTGGAAGGGAATGATCGCCTTTGCCTGAGCAAAGGCAGGAGGTGTGTGAGTGTGAGGTGTGGCTGGAGAGTGGCCTGTAGCTCAGAGTCCTGGGGAGAGCTATAGAGAGCCAGGGCCAGTGGCCGGGCGTGGCTAAAGGAGTCTGGATGACAATGAGAGGAGTTTAGACCTCACTCTGCAGGCAGCAGGGAGCTGACAGTAGAAGGGGACACCTGGTTTCTGGTCCCAGGCTGCAGCTGTGAGCCCTTGAGCAAGTGATTGCTCCGGGTGGAAGTGGTCTCTGTTTTCTACTGCTCGAATGAAGGGGCTGCACCAACCACGTGATCACCAAGTTCCCTTCCAGCTCAGGGTCTGTTCCCGTGTCTCCCTCCACGCAGATGTCCCGGCCTGCTCCTTCGGCCCCTCTCCCACCGCAGCAGTCCGCCAGCCCGCAGTGGTGGTGAGACGGCCTCGGCGTGCATCCCATGCGTGGTCGAGGAGAATGAGCCTCGCTCCTGCAGGGCCCCGGGGCAGGTCTGGAGCAGAAGGGGCCCTGGAGGAGAGACATGAAGGAAAGAGAGCTGACCCATTTCCTTTTGCCCTGGGCCCCGGGCCAAGATTGCCCAGAGTCTGCAGGCAGGGGTGGCGTTAGAGGAAGTTGTGCCCCCTGATTCAGGGAGGCTGTGCTTGGGGTGACATGAGCTCAGATGAGAGGGAACGGTGCACCAAGTGGCCCCCGGGGACCTGGGTGCTCGTGCACGCTCCGCTACTCACCTGCTGCGTCATTTTGGACTGTGCACTTCCCCTCTGTGACCTTTGTTCTGGATCATTTGTGAAGCCCCTTTCATGGGTAGGCATTTCACCTCGTGGTTAAGACTGCTTGGGATGCTGGCCTCCCATATGGGAGTGCCTGGATTTGGTCCTGGCGCGGCTTCTGATTCCCACTTCCTGCGAATGCGGACCCTGACTCAAATAGTTGGGTCCCTACCACTCACGTGCAAGGCCTGGGCTAAGTTCCCAACTCCTGCTTTAGCCTAGCCTAGCCCGGGCTTTGGGGAGTGAACCAGCAGAAGGGAGATGTTCTTTCTCTCTCTCTCTCTCGTTCAAATACAAAATAAAATAAATAAATAAGTTCCTTTCAACTTGCTCAGCAACTGTTGACCTTCCTTCCTGATTTGTATCCGCTGTCTCAAGGTGAGGTCTCTCTGGGGCAGGAGCTGTGTGCGCCCCCTCCCAGGGGCGTCTCACTCAGTGCATTGCCTGGAGAGGGAAGCCAGGGAGTTCAGAGGGGTTCCGCCACCCCTGACCTGGCACCCGGGGCAGTTCATAAAGAACCAGCCTGTCCCCTCCCGACCCAAACAGGATGCCCTTGCACCTCCAGGCCCTGCCCCCACCCAAACTCAGCTCCGTGGCCTCTTTCCTCCTCCCATCGGAACCGCAAACATCCGGGTCTGTCTGGAGTGGCTCTGGCAGGAGGACCTGAGGGATGAAAGGGCTTGGGAACTTCTGTTCCCTTCCCTGAACCCCTCCTCATCGGTCTTGTCCTCCACATTACCCCTGCCCCCACTTTCTGCTCAAAACCTCTCTCCTCCCCAGGCCAGACCCCTGGGGCAGGTGAGCGAAAACCCAACAGGTCAGCCCATCCGGGGCTCAGTTTATGGAGGCTGGGATGTTAGGGGTCAGCCAGGCCCAGGTGCAAGAGTGTCTTAACCCACAGGGAAGAAATCTTCAGCCCTCTCTGTCTGGGGGTTTGAGGGGCTCTAGAAAGAGCCCCTCCCACCAGCCAATGGGATCACCCACCCTCTACCTCCCCTCTCTCCTCCTCTCCCCGGCAGCGTGGTTTTGTGATGGCCACTGCCCAGGCTGCTACGGCTGCCTGCAACCCCTTCGTTTTGTAGATGCGGGCAGAAGCACAGGCCCAGAAAGGGGAACTCACACCCACAGTCACACAGATGGCCGCTGAGTTGACAGCTCCCTGCGTTTCCATTCTCTGTACAGTGAGGGCGGGCATTGGACTCAATGGGCACAGAGCCCCTTCCAGCCTCTGCAGGGGCTTTGAATCTCCATGACAAAGCCATGCTGCACCTCTGGGGGGCACTTCAAGAAGTTCAAGGAAAATGGAATTAAGAGATACATTTACTTTGATGCAAAAAAATTCAAAATCTAGTTTTGTCACACGTGCATCTCCCCGAGCTGTCGACTGTCATTCGACCACGCTCATCATCCCCTTAGGTTTCTAAAAGGCTCTTGCTAAAGTACCAGTACTTTGAAAACAAGGACTGTTCCAGGCTGCAGATGTTAACTTGTAGTTGAGCAGGAGTCCACACAGTAAATCGAGGTCTCTCATAAAGTCCCCCAAGTTAAGACATCGTCAGCCTGGAATTGGGGCCGGCAGTCGGAGGCCCCAGGGCCACTGCACAGTTCCTGTGACTGCAACCCTGGGCTGCTGTGACCCAGCTACAGCAGGAAGAGCAGGCGAATTGGGAGGGGTCAGAGGAGCCTGTGGCAAGACTGTTGCACAACCCTTGGGTGATCTACCCCGGTCCTGAAGTTCCTTCTGTGTGACCAGATCCTTCCTCTTCTGCCTCCTTCCCTGTTTGCCAGCTCTGGGCCTTCCCAGCTTCAGATGCCAATACTGAGACCCCAGAGGTGTGCATGGAGATCCTGTAGAGAGGTTAAGGGGCTGAGGAGCCTTGGAGCACCCACCAGGAAGTTCCTGAGGCCCACTCCAAGCCAGCGAGTTTGCCTGCTGCCCGGTGAGTTTTCCAGATGGAGACCGCCCTCACTCTATCCTGTTGGTTGAAACCTCTCGCCAAGGATAGCAAGGAAACCGGTGCTGGCGATTGCCCTGGGAAGGGGGGCTCCAGCTGTATTGTGGGTGCTGCTTCCATTGTGTTTTCTATGTAGATTAGCTTCTCAAAACAAAAAAAAAAATAAAATTTCCTTCAACATAATAAAAGTATATGCTGCGGCTGGCGCTGTGGCTCAGTAGGCTAATCCTCCGCCTAGCGGCGCCGGCACACCGGGTTCTAGTCCCGGTTGGGGCGCCGGATTCTGTCCCGGTTGCTCCTCTTCCAGTCTAGCCCTCTGCTGTGGCCCGGGAGTGCAGTGGAGGATGGTCCAAGTCCTTGGGCCCTGCACCCCATGGGAGACCAGGAGAAGCACCTGGCTCCTGCCTTCAGATCAGCGCGGTGCACCGGCGGCAGCGTGCCGGCCGCGGCGGCCATTGGAGGGTGAACCAACGGCAAAAGGAAGACCTTTCTCTCTCTCTCTCTCTCACTGTCCACTCTGCCTGTCAAAAAAAATAAAATAAAATAAAGTAAAAGTATATGCTCATAGCAGGCCTGGAGTAAGGCTGAGCAGGGATGATCCTTTTATTTTATTTTATTTTATTTTATTTTATTTTAAGATTTATTTGAAAGAGAGAGTGAGCTATTTTCCATCTACTGATTCATTCCCCAAATGATTGCAACATCCAGGGCTGGGCCAGACCAAAGCCAGGAGCCAGGTGCTTCTTCTGGGTCTCCCACATGGGTGCAGGGTCTAAGGACTTGGGCCATTTCCCACTCCTATCCCAGGCACATTAGTAGGGAGCTGGATTGGAAGTGGAGTACCCACTGCATCTTTTAAAAAGATGATTATCTTTTTAAAAAAGTTTTAATTGTGGCAAAAAGCAACAGGATAAACTATACCATCTTAACAGTTTAAGAATACAGCGTCTTGGTGCACTAGGCTAATCCTCCAGCCTGTGGCGCTGGCATCCCATATGGGCACTGGTTCTAGTCTCAGTTGCCCCTCTTCCAGTCCAGCTCTCTGCTGTGGCCCAGGAAGGCAGTGGAGGATGGCCCAAGCACTTGGGCTCCTGCACCTGCATGGGAGACCAGGAAGAAGCACCTGGCTCCTGGCTTTGGATCGGCGCAGCTCCATCTGCGCCATCCATTTGGGGAGTGAACCAACAGAAGGAAGACCTTTCTCTCTGTCTCTCTCTCTCTCACTGTCTGTAATTCCACCTGTCAAATAAATAAATAAAAATCTAAAAAAAAAAAAGACTACAACTCAGTTATGCTGTGTTCACATTGTGCAGCAGATCTCAAGTTAGAACTTTTAATGAGAGAGAGAGAGAGAGAGAGCACTTGAGTGTTCCCATCCACTGGCTCCCTCCCAGATGCCTGCAATGCACTCAGCCCAGGTCTCCCTCGTGGGTGGCAGCGGCAGGAACCCCATCACTTGTCTCCCAGGGTCCACATTAGCAGGAAGCCAGCGTCAGGAGCTGGAGGTGGGAATTGAACCCGGGCACTCTGACGTGGAAAGTGGGCATCTGAACTGTCATCTTACTTGATTCTAAACCTTTTTCATCCTGTGAAATGGAAACCCTATACCCAACCCACAACTCCTGGTGATTTTTTGTTCTGCTTTATTTATGTGGGACGGATGAGAAAACTGAATCCCTAGCAGGGCAGTGAATTATTTCCCTCAAAGCAGGCTCCTCCGGACACTCAGCTTCTCTCCGTCATCTACTCGCAGAATTACCGGAAGCCCCTTCCCCCTCTGGTCCTCACATTAGCTATTCCCTCCCCAAGACACATCTCACACCTCACATTCGTCATCCCCTCAGCCCTGCTCTGCTTCTGGAACATCAACACTTTCAAGATCCTTGTAACTCCGCCCCTGCCTCCACGTGTGTCCCCTCCGCCAGCCACAGTGTCCTTTCCAGCACAGAGCTGATCCTTTCGGGCGCCCACTTCTACCACCACTCCGTGGCTCTTCTGCAACGTCAGGATCAGGTGCCAGCCCCTGGGCGTGGCCCTCGAGGGCCCCACCCCACCCCGTGGTCCCCGCGGGCCTCTCCTGCCTTAGGTCGCCGCTCACTGTACAGCTTCCTCATGCTACGCTCCACCCTTCTAATTTTGTGTGCGTTCTTGCCTTTGCTCACTCCTCTGTTTCCTTCCCGGGCCTTCCTGCCTCCTGAGAGCTCCGACTCAAAGGCCTCCATTGCCATATCCGCTCTGAGCCCTGGTTAGAATTCGCCGCTTCTTTTATGCTGCAGGAGCTCCTGGTTTGTACCTGGCATCACAGTGGAGCTGGTGTTGAGCCTGTGTGCAGGGCCTCAGTCTGGGCCTCCCTGAGAGCCCGGCGTGGAACTCGGCTGGGACCCATGGTGCACAGTGGCTGGTGACTGCTTCGCTGAGGCATTCATTTCATTGTGCTGCTGCTGCTTACCACTGGACCGTGAGAGGGAAGAAGAAACCACACTTTAAAAAAATTATTAGGCCGGCGCCGTGGCTCACTAGGCTAATCCTCCGCCTTGCAGCGCAGGCACACCGGGTTCTAGTCCCGGTTGGGGCGCCGGATTCTGTCCCGGTTGCCCCTCTTCCAGGCCAGCCCTCTGCTGTGGCCAGGGAGTGCAGTGGAGGATGGCCCAGGTGCTTGGGCCCTGCACCCCATGGGAGACCAGGAGAAGCACCTGGCTCCTGCCATCGGATCAGCACAGTGTGCCGGCCGCAGCGCGCTGGCCACGGCAGCCATTGGAGGGTGAACAAACGGCAAAGGAAGACCTTTCTCTCTGTCTCTCTCACTGTCCACTCTGCCTGTTGGAAAAAAAAAATAATTAATTAACTAATCAAGTTATTTGAAAGGGACAGTGTCAAAGAGAGGGAGGGAAAGCCAAGGGGGAGGGGAGATCTTTCACCTACTGGTTCACTCCTCAAATGGTCACAACACTCGGGGCTGGGCCAGACTGAAGCCAGAAGCCAGCAATTCCGTCCTGGTCTTCCACATGGGTGGCAGGAGCCCAAGCACTTGGGCCATCTCCTGCTGCCTTCCCAGGTGCAGTAGCAGGTAGCTGGATTGCAAGCGGAGCAGCTGGGACTTGAACCAGCACTGTGTGATGTCGGCATTGCACGTGGTAGCTTTACCCACTGTGCCACAATGCCTGCCCCAAGGCACACATTTCTTACAAGTACGGTTGCAGATGAGAACCTGTGCCTCGTGGGTCTTAACTCCGTGAGCCCTTGCTCTTTTCCCCTCCCCCATCAAGACAAGACAGCCCAAGTCCTGGATGGCGGAAGGCCCCAAAGTCTTGCATGAGAGCGTGGACCAGTCCTGGCTGATACCCCAAGTTCTGTGTTCAAAGAACTCTGCCAAGAGCTGGTGTGGGTATGGAAGGGGCTCTAAGCTGGCCTTGAAGAGGGCCCCCTTTTGCTTGACCACTAATATTCTCTGTGGTCACAGGCAAGCCACTGATAGGCTCTGGCCTCAGTTTCCCCATGAAGAAAATGGAAGGAGTTAGATGAAGCGCCTCCAGCCTAAGAATCCGAATCCTAGAAAAGAGAGTCCTAGGGGCTCCCTTGGTGGGGGCGGCCCTTGTTCCACAAGTGTTGATCGAGCACCCAATCAGTGCTTTTATGCAGCAGTGAGTGACGCAGGCACAGTCCCCACCTCCGTTGAGCACGTGGACCAGAGAGAAGACAGACAGACAAACAAATAGACCAAACTCTGGGGCTGGGGTTGCAGCTGGGCTCTGAGCGCTGCCGCTAACAGAAGCGATCGTCTCTCTCTGCTCTCGCTCTACAGCCTCCTGGGATTCCTCAGCCCCCCTCAACTTCTGTTGCTATGGAGGCCACCAACGGGACTGAGGCCTGGTACAAGAGCCTGCACTCTGTGCTCAAGGCTCTGAATGCCACTCTGCACAGCAACCTGCTCTGCCGGCCAGGACCAGGGCCAGCACCAGGGCCAGGGCCAGGGCCAGACAACCAGACAGAGCAGCAGCAGGCCAGGCTCCCTGGCCGGGACGACAACTCCTACATGTACATCCTCTTCGTCATGTTCCTGTTTGCTGTCACCGTGGGCAGCCTCATCCTAGGATACACCCGCTCCCGCAAAGTGGACAAGCGGAGTGACCCTTACCACGTGTACATCAAGAACCGGGTGTCTATGATCTGATGTAGGGGAGGGGCCAGGGACAGCAGACGATCGAGACACCAGATGACTTGTCTTCCAGGGCCCCCCCGAACTCAGCTGTGGACCGCGGCAGCCCTGAGTGTCCCTCACTGTATGGCCAACAGGACACAGAGCTACAGGAGGCCACCACTGGGGTTGAGGGAGGGGACCAGCAGATCTGGGCTTTGTGGGCAGGTGTTTTTTCCCAGGCCAAGAAGACTTTATAAACAGTAGGAGCCCAATACAAAGAGGTACCAAAAGATGAGGACCAACAAGGGGTCCAATGGCTGGAGCAATGGGAGCCTAAGGTTGGAGGACAGATGGGGAGGGCTGTAGCCAAGGAAACAGGAAAATGTGCCAGGGACACATGCGGGTGCATGCGTGTGTGTGTGTGGGATGCATGCGTGTGTGTGTGTGTGTGTGTGTGTATGGTCTTCAACAACTATGAGAAACAGTGATGATTATCCAAGGTAGGAAAACAGAATAATGTTATCGACACTAAGTCTCCATTTTATGTTTTCAACGTGCTGAACCTTTGTGATTCTCCCCCTGCCCCACCATGATGAAAGCAGGGCAAAGAAAAGGGGCAGAATTGCAGTGATGCCACAGTCACAGCCTAGGGGCTCTGGTCTTCCTGCCTGGTGAATTTTAAAGGTGTGCCACTCACGAGGGGGTCCAGGCCAGAAGCTTACACAACCCTGAAGACCCTCTCTATGAAAAAGTTCTAAATTACTTTGCCTTAAATATCACAAAAATTTCACCACCATGTTAATGTGTTGCTAGAGCCCTTCCTAGGTTAAGAAGGAGCCCGCACAAGTGCAGGACCCTGAATATTTTTGTTTTGTAAACATGAATTTGAATGGGGGGGGTGGCACTATGGCATAGTAGGCTAAGCCTCCGCCCGCAGTGCTGGCATCCCATATGGATGCCAGTTTGAGTCCTGGCTGCTCCACTTTCAATCCAGCTCTCTGCAATGGCCTGGGAAGCAGTGCAAGATGGCCCAAGTGCTTGGGCTCCTGCACCCGTGTTGGAGATCCAGAAGAAGCTCCTAGCTTCAGACCAGCTCACTGTGGCCTTTTGGGGAGTGAACCAGCAAATGGAAGATCCCTCTCTCTGTCTGTAACTCTGCCTCTCAAATAAATAAATCCTTTTTAAAAAATGTATTTGAGGGGCTGGCGCTGTGGCTCACTTGGTTAATCCTCCTCCCGCGGCATCGGCATCCCATGTGGGTGCCGAGTTCTACTCCCAGTTGCTCCTCTTCCACTCCAGCTCTCTGCTGTGGCCAGGAAGGGCAGTGGAGGGTGGCCCAAGTTCTTGGGTCCCTGCGCCCACATGGCAGACCGGGAGGAAGCAACCGGCTCCTGGCTTCAGATCGGCGCAGCTCTGGCCATAGCGACCATTTGGGGAGTGAGCCAGCAGAAGGAAGACCTTTCTCTCTGTCTCTCTCTCTCACTGTCTCTATCTCTACCTGTGAAATAAAAAAAAAAGGTGGGGGGGAATGTGTTTGAAAGGCAGACACACACACACACGCAAATTTCCATCTGCGGGTTCACTCACCAAATGCCTGCAATGACCAGGGCAAAGCCAGGAGCCAGAAACTCAATCCTGCTCTCCTATGTGAGTGGCAGGAACCCAATTACTTTTTTTTTTTTAAGATTTATTTTATTTATTTGAAAGACAGAGTTACAGAGAGAGGTAGAGACACAGAGAGAGAGAGGTCTTCCATCCGCTGGTTCACTTCCCAGTTGGCCGCAACAACCAGAGCTGCGCCGATCCGAAGCCAGGAGCCAGGAGCCTCCTCTGGGTCTCCCACGTGGGTGCAGGGGCCCAAAGACTTGGGCCATCTTCTACTGCTTTCCCAGGCCACAGCAGAAAGCTGGACTGGAAGAAGAGCAACTGGGACTAGAACCGGCGCCCATATGGGATGCCGGCGCTTCAGGCCAGGGCTTCAACCCAGTGCACCACAGCGCCAGTCCCTGGAACCCAATGACTTGAGTGATCACCAGTGCCTCCCAGGGTCTGCATTAGCAGGAAGCTGCTGTCAGCAGCCAGAGCTGGGACTGCACCCTGGTGCTTTGAGCAAGGATGCTGGTGTCTTCACTACGACCTTGCCTGCTAGGCTGACGGCTGCCCAGGGGCCCAGAATGTGTGCTCATCAGCACCGAGGGTCACTGCCTCTTAGCCACATCATGGGGCCCCTCCCAGCCACGTCTCCAGTCACAGAGGCTTCACCACCTCTAACGTAGCTGCTTCCATTTAAGTCGAGTTCTGCGAGCCATTCTCTGATCCAAATTGAAATCTGCTTCTAGCAGATGATAATCACGCCCACAAGACTATCACAATAAAAGCAGAGTGACAGGCAGGCTCCACGGAATGAGAACCGGCCCTCACTGCACCACCAACGTGGTGTGAGCTCAGGCTGGGCGCTGCTCTCCCTGCCCCGTCCCTCTTCAGCACGGCGGAATAGGCTGGGGTCTCTCCTAGGGCTCTGCCGGTTCTGACGTTGCGGGTTCCTGTGCATTAGGCTGGACCGTGTGCTGCGCTCTCAGGCGGAGGAGAGCTGGGCACGAGCAGTTCCACGTGGTTCAAGCTGATGCATGCAGTGTGGCCGCTGGGTGCTTCATAGCTATTGGCCCCAGAGCCCAGGCTGGAAGCACCCACAGGTCTGCCTGTCGGATTGCAATGGGTTGGGGGGTGAGAATCTCCAGGTGGTCCCAGCCAGCCCGTTGAAATATACATGTTAGCGTGCAGCAAAACTCAGAGAATATCAGGAAAGCTATTGTCTCTGAGGAATAGGCTCACGGGTGACTTTCCACATCATAGGCTGATGGACTAATGTTACTTGTATGACATGTGGGTGGGGGCAACGCTGACTCCACTTGTGCAAAAAATAAATGCCCATGAGCTGTTCTGTTGATTCCCTCAGATCTGTGCTCAGGCCCTTCCCCATCTCTTCCTAAGGGAGAAGGAGGGGGCCTCCCTACGGCGACATGAGCTATGGGAAGATGGCAGACTGAGGAGGGCTACAGAGACCACCCAGCCCTAACTGTCTAGTAGGACACGGGATGAGGCTGAGCCCACCAGTGACTGCAATGAGGGCTTTCAGAAGCGAGATGGACTTGGATTTAGGGGAGCCAGAAAAAGGGGGCACTTCGGCGGAGCTCTCAGAGGGTGGACCCGCATGGGCTGGGTGAATAGAAAGTTGGGGGCAGAAATGTCAGGGCTCCCCTTGGAGGGTGGTAGGTTGGCTGAAGAGGTGGGGCAGGAAGCAGGTGTGGGACAGGGAAGGCTGCTCCGCGGCTCCAGGGGCCCCAGCTATGGAGGAGGCTCCTCTTCACCCAGAACTCACACTCACAGGGCTTAATAATAATAACAATACATTTTGCTTGCAAACTACAGAAGCCCTTTGTGGATGAGCATAAGCAGGAAAAGGGGTTTAGGACAGGAGTGCGTGCACAAGCTCAACACAGGCACTGCAGGCCCTGGGATCTGTAACTACAATGGGGCTTCAAGACTGTGCAGAGATGGAATGGGAAGATACATTTAGTTTTGAAGAAAAAAAACTAGAAATTATATATAGCGAGTGGTCTTCATAAAAGCTCATGGAAAATGCATATTATGAAAAAGCTATGCATTAGCCAGCGCCGCGGCTCAATAGGCTAATCCTCCACCTAGCGGCGCCGGCATACCGGGTTCTAGTCCCGGTCGGGGCACCGGATTCTGTCCCGGTTGCCCCTCTTCCAGGCCAGCTCTCTGCTGTGGCCCGGGAAGGCAGTGGAGGATGGCCCAGGTGCTTGGGCCCTGCACCCCATGGGAGACCAGGAGAAGCACCTGGCTCCTGCCCTTGGAACAGTGCGGTGCACCGGCCACAGCGCGCCGGCCACGGCTGCCACTGGAGGGTGAACCAACGGCAAAGGAAGACCTTTCTCTCTGTCTCTCTCACTGTCCACTCTGCCTGTCAAAAAAAAAAAAAAAAAAAAAAAAAAAAAAGAAAAAGCTATGCATAGATCTCAGGTTTTGGGGCCCCAAAATAAGCGTATCTTTTAAGATCCCGACGCACAGCCTCTTGAAGTAGCCCCTCATTCTTGTCTGGATTCCCAAACAAACTCAGCATATCTCAGTCCTGAGAGTTCAACTCAAAACGTCGTAAGATTTTAAGGGAGTATAATGTAAACACCCGAATATTCCATGATGTGGTCACTCCTCTCAGGACCGTCCCCCAGCTCTGCCCCCTCCAACTGTCTGGAAGCTCTGTCCGCTACCCCACAATCCCACTAGCCCAGTGTCCCACCAGACCCTAGGCTCTTTGTACAATTCTGCCCTCTGCTGGCCAAATCCCAGCACATCGCCCTGAGCCCTCAAGGCAGAAATTCAACAGATAGATGTTATTTATTGAGCGCCTACTAGGTTGAATACATAAGCAGACCAAGAACACCCAGCAATACGTAAGAGCTTCCCTTTGCATCATATGCTGGTCTAATAGTTTAGACACTGTGACAGCCAGCTTTTAAAGCCCTCACAGTGCCCCATGCTGTAGGAATTCCTGACAATAGCTTATAAAAGGGCTCATTTGGTCTTTTTAAAAATTTAATTATTTTATCTGAAAGGCAGAGTTACAGAGAGGCAGAGGCAGAAAGAGAGAGGTCTTCCATCCACTGGTTCACTTCCCAGATGGCCTCAACGGCTGGAATTGTGCCGATCTGAAGCCAGGAACTTTTCCTGGGTTTCCCACGTGGGTACAGGAGCCCAAGGACTTGAACCATCTTCCACTGATTTCTCAGGCCATAGCAGAGAGCTGGATTGGAAGTGGAGCAGCCAAGACTTGAACCAGCGCCCATATGGGATGTCAGTACTGCAGGCGGCGGCTTTACTCACTACGCCACAGCACCAGCCCCAACTTGTTCTTCATTGAGCGCCATCATGTGCCCTCAGCCCACTTGAGGGCCTGCAGCATCAACAGGCACTATGGATCTGAGCAGTCCTTGGAAAGGAATGGGGCAGTGATTTGGGACAATGAGGGAGACGTGGATACCAGGAACCCATTGTTGGGTTCCCCGGGAGCGGAAGCCGAGGCAGGCGTTTGTTGATGGGGCACTTGTCGGGAAATGCCTGCCCTGGGAAGAGTGAGGTGGAGAGGAAAGGGCAGGAGCCAAAATGTGTCTCCCTCAGGTCACGTCCAGTCCTTGGCTGGATCCACAAGGAGCTGTTATTTATGGTTGGGGCATAGACCGCATGGCAAAAGTACCGCCTCCTGGGGCGAGGGATTGGCTTTTTGTGCCCCCAAATCCATCAGCAGGCGGCTGTGGGCCTCCCCCCGCCCCACCCCCAGCCCCAGCAGGATTGGCAGGAGGCGGCCTGGAGCAGGCCTGTGTCGGAGGTGGCAGCTGTGAGCTATTGCAGCGGGAGAAGGCTCAGCAGGGAGACACTGGGGGTGGGGGTGGGGGGTCGGCAGCAGTGGTCCCCAGCGAGGCTCTGAAGCTCAGTTGCCATCATGGGAATTGGCCCCACCTTTGGCAGCTAATTTTCCTTCCCCACAGGTGCTGCCGGCTGCTCCCAGAGCCTGTAACTTCCCAGGTGAGCTCGCAGTTGGCTGAGGCCAAACACCTGGGGAGCCAGGCAGCGGCTGGCTGACGCTTGACACTGGACACGGCCGCTGAAGGGGACGGTGCGGGCTTCATCGGCACCCACGGTAGCTGTTGGGCAAGTAGAGGTGGAAGCAGAGTGCCAGGACTTGGGAATGTCTCTTGGTTTCAGCGACAAGAAACACCTACCAAATAAAGACCAGAGATAAGGGGCCGGCTGGCCTGTGGCCGCCTTGTACAGGCACTGGTTTGTTTCCCGGCTGCTCCACTTCCGATCCAGCTCTCTGCCAATGTGCCTGGGAAAGCAATGGAAAATGACCTAAGGCTTGAGCCCCTGCACCCATGAGGGAGACCCCGGAAGAAGCTCCTGGCTCCTGGCTTAAGTCTGGCCCAGGCCCTGCCATTGTGGCCGTTTGGGGAGTGAACCAGCGGATGGAAGACCTTTGGGACTTTGCCTTTCAAATTAATAAATAAATCTTTAAAAAAAATAAGATACCAAATAGAACCAAGCAGGAACCCATGAGTTGAGTACCCGAAAGTGAGGGGAGGGGGGAGGGGACAGACACCACTCTGGTGGAGCAGAAGCAGGATGGGCAGTGTTCATGGGTGATCTTCGGAGGGTGCTCCTACCCCTAGGCAGGATAGGAAGCAGTGGTAGGATTTGTTTAGGCGGTGCAAAGGTGGCTCTGGGCCACTCGGCCACTCAAGGAAACAGGACAGCGACTGTCACCTTCAACCTGTCGTTCTTTTTTTTTTTTTTTTTTAATATATTTTGATAGGCAGAGTGGACAGTGAGAGAGACAGAGAGAAAGGTCTTCCTTTTGCCGTTGGTTCACCCTCTAATGGCCGCCGCAGCCAGCGCGCCTGGCCACGGCGCACCGCACTGATCCGATGGCAGGAGCCAGGCACTTCTGGTCTCTCATGGGGTGCAGGGCCCAAGTACTTGGGCCATCCTCCACTGCACTCCCTGGCCACAGCAGAGAGCTGGCTTGGAAGAGGGGCAACCGGGACAGTATCCGGCGGGACTAGAACCCAGTGTGCCGGCGCCGCAAGGCAGAGGATTAGCCTAGTGAGCCGTGGCGCCGGCCCCAGGTCATTCTGGTGAAGCACTTCCGACTAGTGAGGAGAGAGAAGGAACCAGCGCCCAGGGCCACCGATGCATTCCAAAGCTGCACTATTTCTCCTGTTCAGCTCCGTTGAGGAGGGCTTGGCCAACATGGCCACGCCGGGTGCCTGGGAAGCTGGCAAACGAGGTGCCCGTTTGGACAGCCCGGTTCCCGTCAAACACTTGCCAGCAGGGAGGGAGAGAATGCATTCTGATAGACAGCTGGTCACCCTCGCTCGGCTCTCCCCACTGCCCCCACGCAGTGCTGCTGCCCTGACTCGCTCTTGTTTTCAGGGGTGGGGGCTGGGAGCCTGCTGAGTGTAGCTAAGTCTGTCTTGGGAGTGTGCCTTGTGCTCTTTTTTTTTTTTTTCCCCCGGCATCCTGGAGTCTGGCCTGGCCTCTCCAGGCAATATCAAGATACTGGGCAAGGAGCAGGAGACATAGACAAGCACGGTTTTCAGCCAACCTTTTTGTAGGAAAAAGAAAAATAGTCCTCTTTCATGTGCGACTAAGAAACTAGGATCTGCCTGGATGAAACCAGAGAGCCCACGTGTGGTTGTGTTTGAACGGTGATGGAGCGTGGGCTCCTGGGAGCAAGGCAGTCAGGAACTGGTGAGCGGGAGAGAAAAGGGGAATGAAAATGAGAGTTCGGACCTTGTGCTGGGCAGTATCCTGGAGGCGTCTCCCCACCCCGATGGTCTGCAGCAGGGACACAAAGTGTGGTTCAGCTCCACACAGCATCCGCAGAGGTTCCAGTTTAACCTCATGGTTAGCTCCTTGCTTTGCCCAACTCCTACCCTCGCTTTCTTGCTCATGCATTTCCCGGGCACATGCCCCCAAAATCCTTCTGCAGGCAACTCTCCAGCTCAGCCTGCTTCCCAGAAATCCATCTCTCCCTAGAGAACTGTGTCGCAGCGCTGAGCCTGTCCCAACATCTGTGTCGACAATGGCAGAGGGATGGGAAGACAGACCATAGAAAGAAGTTAGTGGTTTCAGCAAGACGGTGGTGCTGACGGTTTCTAGTCCTTAAGTAAGAACTCTCCACTAGATGGCGCCACACTACAGCTCTGCAGCCACTACAGCGCGTAGCCTTTTGTCTTTGAGCTGGCGAGCACCTAGCATAGTACTTTACACTAGGAGGGGGAAATGTCTGCTTCCTTCTCTTTTACTGTCCCAAGGACACCAGCATCCTAGGTTGTTCCAATATCCTAGCACCAGGGCCTCTGTGCCA